CTCAGTGCTTCCAAAGTAAGGCAGATATGGAATCGCGGTTTGTGGCATTGCAAAGCTAAGATTTCAAACTAGTTGCTGTGTAAATTTCATCTTCCTATCTCAACTGATTTGGCCGTGGTGAAGTTGCAAAATTTGAATTTTCAAAAAAGGCAAAATTGGTCAATTTCAACAGGTAGCTACCTGGGGTACCAAAATCCATTTTTGGGTCGAATTTTTTTGGTCTCGGAAATCGATGTAACCCGGTTTTTTGGACTCGGTGCTTCTCTAGCTCTCCCCCAATGTGCATAAAAGTGAATTCTGAGCACTTTTTTTTTTGCGGAAAAGTGCCAAAAAATCCGGTTTTTCATGGACAAAACTAAAACGCTCAGTGCTTCCAAAGTAAGGCAGATATGGAATCGCGGTTTGTGGCATTGCAAAGCTAAGATTTCAAACTAGTTGCTGTGTAAATTTCATCTTCCTATCTCAACTGGTTTGGCCGTGGTGAAGCTGCAAAATTTGAATTTTCAAAAAAGGCAAAATTGGTCAATTTCAACAGGTAGCTACCTGGGGTACCAAAATCCATTTTTGGGTCGAATTTTTTTGGTCTCAGAAATCGATGTAACCCGGTTTTTTGGACTCGGTGCTTCTCTAGCTCTCCCCCAATGTGCATAAAAGTGAATTCTGAGCACTTTTTTTTTTTGCGGAAAAGTGCCAAAAAATCCGGTTTTTCATGGACAAAACTAAAACGCTCAGTGCTTCCAAAGTAAGGCAGATATGGAATCGCGGTTTGTGGCATTGCAAAGCTAAGATTTCAAACTAGTCGCTGTGTAAATTTCATCTTCCTATCTCAACTGGTTTGGCCGTGGTGAAGCTGCAAAATTTGAATTTTCAAAAAAGGCAAAATTGGTCAATTTCAACAGGTAGCTACCTGTGGTACCAAAATCCATTTTTGGGTCGAATTTTTTTGGTCTCAGAAATCGATGTAACCCGGTTTTTTGGACTCGGTGCTTCTCTAGCTCTCCCCCAATGTGCATAAAAGTGAATTCTGAGCACTTTTTTTTTTTTGCGGAAAAGTGCCAAAAAATCCGGTTTTTCATGGACAAAACTAAACGCTCAGTGT